AAAGTAACTTAATTCCATCACTAGTTTATAATAGTCTGGCCTCCCAGAGGCAAAATTCATGAAAAGAAATATATAAGGAGTAGAATTTCAACACAAGAGAAAGTGAACAAGAGAAACAAAGAGGATGAGAAGTGAGCACTAGGGAGAATGTGAAAGGGGAATTAGTTTTTATTCTTAACGTTGAAGAATGAGAGACAGAGGGTGGTCCAACTCAGTTGGACATCAGATCATGAGATGGGGAGGAGAACATGAAGAATGGAACCTGGTGAGCTGGGTCTCACTCGGGAGGCCTCACGCTGACATGGCGCCAAGACCAAAGAGAAAGGCCACATCTGGGCAATGAAGTGAGTGATGAGGGACCCAGGTGAACATGGAACTAAGCCCACGTCTGTGGCCAAGACAAGGCTGGAATGCCGACAGAGATTTTTTTCTTTCAGATGGATTTCTTAGGGAATAAAAATCTTAAATTAAATCAAAGAAAAATAAAATAAAATATTCAATACCTTCTGCATTTTAAGAAAAACGTGAATCTATCTCTGGGGAAAAAAATTTTTTTTTTATTTCTTTATAAAAGGAGTCCTAGCAAAATTGTCAGTATTGCCAGGTTGTTCAGCTACATAGTCCTTCTTTTTTAAAAAACCTGTATGAAGAAAGTATTTGCCATCATTTGCACTAGTTATACAAAGAATCAGTGCATTATTTTGAAATGTCAGGAATGTACATTCTACGGGAGGGGTGATTTCCGTATCACTAAACCATACCATACAGAAAATTATCTACTCCTCCCAGTAACAAAATAAGCCCTATTTGCATTCTTCCATCTTTCCACTTTCTACGATAAACATACAAATAATGATATAAGTATTCTGGGGTAGCATTTATGCAGAGTGCTGAGCTGCACTGAGGAAAGATATGGTGAGCTGAACCAGCGTGATTCAATAGCAAATAAATTTTTACCAGTGAACCCCCACACCAAGTGTCTTATGTTCACATTCCAAGAGCTACCTAAAGCTTTAGATAGCAAACACATAACAACTCCCTTTCTGAATACGATAGGGTCTGAGCATTTAGGAGGTATGGATAAGAGTATAGGCAATGGATATAGGGTTTACAACTAGGCAAAACTTGCCTTTCTTCCTTTATAAACTGAAAATTTTTTTTACTTTAATTGTAAAATGAATTCCATTCTTATAGTCTTCACAAATTTCAGTCACAGAAAGTATTTCTGTACTTTTCTCTTATATAGCTTTGCTATGGCCTTTTAAACAATACTTGAAGTACTATGAAGAAGAATTAATGATTTAATTCAATTTTAAAATATCTTTGGCCCCATCCTATAAAATAAAGATGATGGAATAGATAACCATCTGTGTATCCTACATTAGCTAAGATTCTTAATGGTCATGGACACATTCAAAATAAATTTCTTCTAACCATATATTACATATATACACACAGAGACTCCTGAATATATCAGAGCCACAGAAGATCAAATTGTAAATGTTCATAGGTAACCCACTTTGGAAACATTCACTTAGAAGAAGGTAAAAAGCAGCATGTTCCTCGGCATAGTGGCTCATGCCTGTAACCCTAGCACTCAGGGAGGCTGAGATGGGAGAATCACTTGGGGCCAGCAGCTCTGAGACCAGCCTGGGTAACATAATAAGAACCTGTCTGTACAAAAAACACTTTAAAAATTAGTCAGGCATGGTGGTGGGCACCTGTAGTCCCAGCTACTCAGGAGGCTGAGGCAGAAGGATCACTTGAGCCCAGAAGTTTGAGGTTGCAGTGAGCTATGTATGATGACACCACTGCACTCTAGCCCAGGCAAAAGAGCATCACTCTGTCCGAAAGAACAGCAGCAATGGGAAGTTAGAATGATTCTAGACTTTTTAAATTAGAGGAATCAGAAAGATCACACCATTCAACAATCTCCCATTTTGGATGAGAAGACAAGAGCCAGGGAGAGAGCAGTGGCTCCCACAGACAGGTCAAGGTGGACACAGTTAAATTGGGATTCCCCCAGCCCCTGGCTAGTGCACCATCCCCTACCCACTGTCAGAATCACATAGATACAAGTGCCTCCTCTTCAGACTGCATCTTGCACTTAGGAATTAATTCCTCATAGTATGTAGAACAATTTGAGTGTTCTATGGATCCTTACCAAATGTTTCTAATGACCTGCTTAGGAAAAGCAAAACAACAAAGCCTGGGTGGGAACCCACTTAGAAAGGCAGCTCTTCCTTGAGAGGGTCTCTGGATCAGACAATCTTGTTGTGGCGATGTCCGTGAGCAGGAGGGAGCCATGGGCAGAAACTGCCCCTCCCCAAAATTGAGGGAAGCCCAGCTCTGCCCCCAACCCTGTCATAGGTCTCTTGGGCCTTTCTCTGATTCCTGGACACCCCATGGACTCCCCCTCCATCCTTCTGGACCCCACTGCACTTCCCATGGGCCACCCTCATCTCAGTGGACCGAGCTCCCTACTCAGTACCAACGTCTCTGGCCCAGTGCCTCTGTCCCTGTTTTACCCCTAATAAACTAGTGTGGGTTTTGCTGTTAACAGACCTTAAAACAGACCAAAACATCTATCCGAGGCAAATTTTAGTCCATATAAACTTGAATATCCTGAACTGAAATATGGGGAATGCTAATAACAAATGATAGGAAGGTTAGGACAGGAAAAAAATTCTTAAACCTTTTTTAGGTACTGTTAAAATAATTACCTGGGAGGCCAGTAAACTGAGGTGCCTCAGTGCCCTGGGTTCCTATAAAAGCAAACTGAACCCAACCCAGCGTAAATGCTCTTAACAAAAATCAGAAACCACCAGCTGACCTCTAACTAAGGACTTTCCACTTCCTGCTCCATGTTAGCAAATCAAACATTCCCTCTGCCCTGCCCTTGCCCGCACACGCTGTCCCCCTGTGCCCCAGTGGAGAAGTGCCAAAGCTCCCTGGTTTGGAGCTACTGGACTCATGAGCCCTTGTCTGCTCAAATAAATACATTAAAATTTTAACATGCCAAAGTTTACCTTTTAACAGCTCCTACTTCATTTTTTTTTTCAGCTTGATGGAATTAGAGTTTATATTAGAGGAATCTGATGACCAGCTTTCTTCTCCAAAGAGGTTCACTCTAAGGAGAAGGCCCTCCAAGTCCTTCCGTATCATGGTGCCCCTCTCCACTCATGTGTTGCTGGTCGAGGCTTATAGAGATTGGGCACTGTGGCTCATGGGCCAAATCCAGCCATTTGGCATGACCTTACCTTACGAATGAACTGTTTAATATTTTTAAATGATTGTTATCCAAACAATAGCAACAACAAAGAAGGATATGTGACCCACAAAGCCAAAAATATTTACTACCTGGTCTTTTACAGAAACTGTGCTGACCCCTGGTTTAGGAGAAGCCCCCAGCCAGGTGTGCCCTATGGGCAGAGCCCCTGAAGTCACCCACCAACCCAGGGACTATGGCCATGCACCCAAACCACTGCTATCCCACCCTATTCCATGGAGGGAGAGCAAAGGGAAGAAAGAAGGGACCGAAAGTCAAGCAAATGTTAAGCCAAATTTGGTTTTCCAAATGAACGCCAACAAACACCTCAAGCCCAGCTGTGGCTAGAACAGAGTATTCCCCGAGGCCACCATGCAAGGCTGGCACAGATGTCACAGCCCCTCGAGTCCTCTCTCCCCTCATGCCCTGCCCCTACCAGCAGAGCCTTCACCGATTTCTACATCTTCTGGGCTCTCCCAGCACGTCATAATGTCTTGCCTCTCACTGGGTTTCAGAATCCTTCCCTGGGAAGAAGAGGCAACACTCCTCCGGGAGCTCTCCTCATCAAGGAGGGCCCGGCATTGCCTGGTGGCAGCGGGCATGGGGGGAACCTCCACTGGGTCTAAGATAACTGGGGATCCTCAGCTGTCTCTGGTTTACAGCCCCCCTTGAGGACTGAAACTTTGTTGGCAATGTGGACTGGTTTCTGGCAGAGTCATCTTCTTTCTCAGGGTCATTGGCCCCCTTGGTGTCTGGGCACCACAGACTGGGAGGTGACGCCTGCTGGCACCTTCCACCTCAGGGGGCCAATCAGGAGCGTGGATATGACATGAGTGCTGTCCCTCGTCGGGACAGGGCAAGCCATTGGAGGTTTTTAGATAAGTAACTCTGGTTGCTGATTGCAGAGTAGATCTGAGGGATGAGACACAAAGAAAGCACGCTTGCCCCTGCACCGTATTCTTTCTTCTCATGGCCCCCAGAGCTGTCCATATCCTTCTCCTCCTCAGAGCTGTCACCCCCTGCTTGACTCTCCTGACTGCACAAGGAGACACGTTGCCCAGCATTCCACTTCTGCCTGCCCCTGAGACTGGGGTTACAGCTGATTTTGTTTTAGGACTTTTGTATCTCATCACTTTAATTTACTTTATAAGTAAACAAAGTGGGAAGTAGCAAAATACATAAGTGCTAAATTCCATAAACCATATAAAGATCTTACAACGCTCTTATTCCTTTGTTTTCTCAGTGCCTAGTGATCAATAAATGTTGACAGAATGATACCACTCACAAGTCTACTATGGAAATCTCAGTGTCCCTTTCTTCCCTCTCTTATTTCTGAAGGGTGATTTCTCTGGGCCCTTCTCCATCTTTTTATAGATTCCCAGCACCTTCCCCCACCCCCCATCTGCCTGCAGCACCTGCTGGCTTCTGTCACTGTATCGTGATGCCAGAGGCAAATATTTAAACTAGTAACCATCCTCAAGGGGCCCCCCTCAATCTCTCAGGGATGGAGGTGAGCATGTGGTCCTCTCACTATGGTTTGATCTTCATGGAAGGGTCACTTTGGGGAAGGAATTCACCCTCTGTGCACTTGTCCCCACAGGGCAGAAATCCAGCCCTGACTCTGTCCCTAGGTGTGGTCAATTCTATCAAAAGTAAACTCATTAATCAGAAGCTGATAGGGTGTTACCAGAAAATGAGTTATTGATTGGAGAAGAAAGCTATGGTAACGTAGGAGCTGCTGCTTTGCCCAGATGTGGCCCCACACTTGGATGGTAGGGCCAGTCTACGCTGCTAGTTAACCCTGCCTGGGTCAGGGTACTCAAATAGCCTGAAGGTGGGCGCTGGTTAAAGTCTCCTTCAACAAAACTGGGACCTGGACCCCAACATCTTTGCCTGGTGATACACCGCTTGCCTTTCAACGCCAATTGTAAGTAATTGCAGAGACAGAAAATGTATTTGCAATTTTTCCTTTAGTTAATACTTTAAATGAAAATCGATTAAAACAGTAAACATAAAATATGTGATTAATTTTGAAAGGCGTGTGGGATTGTTAGCCACTTAAAAGACAGGGACAAATTTCAGATGACCTTGACTACAAAAAAAAGTTTCTAAAAACTGCTACTGCTCCACACCCTGAACCATCAAATTCCCTTTGCACTTCACAGGTGAGACTCCAAGGATGAGCAAATAATCTCCATACAGAGTAAAATGAGTTATAGCTGCTTTAAAGATGTGACCCAGGGCTCCTTCAGGCATGTGGGGAGGGGCTTCCAGAGCAGGCTGTGCTGAGGTCTTTTGCCTCCCGAAATCCAGCCTGGAAGTCTGGCCAAGGGAAGTGACCCAGCAAGGCACAGTTTGCATATCGGTGCCAATCCCACTATTCTGCATTCACCAGAAAATGGAGCTATAGAAGCTGGGCTTAAAATGGAGAGAGGTGTGGTGGTCAAATGCCTCAACCCCTGGGGCCTTTAGGAAGCAGCCTGCTGGAGCTCAAATCCCAGCTCTGCTGCCATGGCCTGGAACAAGGTATTTCCCCCACAAGCACCTCCGTGTCATCGTAACAGGGAGACACGCATCTGCTCTGGAGAAAAATATCTTGTATTCTGATTATAAAGAAACATAAATTCAGTAGGAAATGAGGAAAATAAAGAAAAGTAGAAGGAAAAGAAAAAACAATTGTAATTGGATCCCAGCTTCTCATCATCGCCAAAATTTGGTATATCTTGACTTTGATTTTAGACATTCTGGTGGTTAGGTAGTAGTTTGGGGTTGGAATTTAATTTAGAATCAAATTTGTTTAAATTGATAAATTTAATTAATTGATTTAACTATTTCTCTGATAATTACTAGTGTTAGCATCTCTATTGTCATTTGCAAAGTACCTGTGCATGTCTTTTGCCCACTTTTCTTTTGGGTTGCTAGTCTTTTTCTCATGGATTTGTAGGAGTTCTTTATATAATCTAGATAGGAATTTTTGGTTAACTTGTGTGTCACAAATATCTTCTCTCATTTTGTGGCTTCCGTTTTTACTCTATTAATGTTGTTTTTGATGAACAGTGTTCTTCATTTTAATTTAATCCAATTTTATGATTGCTTTCCTCCATAGCGGGTGCTTATTTTAACCTGTTTAACAAATCTTGGCCTTCTCAAGGGTCATAAAAATATTCTCTTATATTTCCCTCTAAAATCTAAAAGTTTTATTGTTTTATTTCTCACATTTAGATCTATAATCCACCTACGAGTGATTTTTATGTATGGCACACAATGGGGTGAGGACTCAGTTTTTCCCATCTGGACATCCGATTGATCCAGCACTGTTTATCAGAAAGGCCACCCTTTCCCCCCCCCACCACCACCACTGTAGTGTCACAGCCATCATAAATCAAGTGGCTGTTTACTTGTGGGTCTGTTTCTGGACTCTCCACTCTGTTTCATTGGTCTATTTGTCTACGCTTGCACAAATACCACACTGTCCTTGTTATAATAAAAGTACCACACTGTGCTTTTATAATAAGTCTTGATATCAAGCTAGTATTAATGTAAGTTCTCCAGCTTTGTTGTCCTTCACGATTATCTTGACTATTTTTGGCACTCTGCATAACAGTATAACTTTTAAAATCAGCTTGTCAATTCAATTATAGAAAAAAAATTCTTCTAGGATTCTGATAAGGATTACATTGAATCTATAGATCAATTTGAAAAGAATTGACATCTTTATATTATTGAGTTTTTCAGTGTATGAAAATACTATATCCCTCCATTTATTTGGATATTTTCAACTTTCTCTCACTTAGGTTTTGTAGCTTTTTGTATAGCAATCTTCTACATCCTATGTTAGATTTATTACTAGTTATTTGATTCTTTGTGATGATATTATATAAGTGGTATCATTTTTAAATTGTCATTCTCTATTGATGATGGTATTTATAATACCATGGGTGAGTAAATGGGCACAACCATTTTGGAAAATTGGCAGTACCTATTAAAGCTGAATGTCTACACATGTCCTGTAATGGACAAATTCAGAGCTCCACCCGGATCTCCTGGGCTCATTTTTTACCCTTTTTCAATACAATGCAAAAATAAAACAAAAATCATTACATGTAACAACATGAATGACTTGCATACACATAATACTGAGCAAAAGACAGATATAGGCACAGTGTAATTTCATCTTATTTATATTAGATTGAACCAGATGAAATTGACATTTCAAAGTGCAAAAAATAGTTGAATACCAGCAATTTCATCTGGTTCAATAGAATATAATGTTCAAGCACAGACAACACCAAAAAAGAAGAAGAAGAAGAAAAAAAAAGGCAGGCAACACCAGCCAGTAATCAGGATCAGGGTGACTTTTGAAGGGAGGAACTGACTAAGAGAATGCACGACAGACTTCTGGGGTCCAATCTCTTGATCTGGGTGCTTCTGCGGAGTCTTATTCATTTTCTGAAAATTCTTGAAGCTGTACTCTTCTTATTTGCGCATCTTGTGTGTGTTTGCCACTTTTGTAATTTACAGAGTTAAAAATAGGACTGTTCTTGCCTTGGTTAGGATTTAGGAACCAATATAATAAATATTAACTACCAAAATGGGTATGATAGAATTCCCATACCCAGAATTTAAGAAAAAATCATCGAGAAATTGCTCATTGCTTCTTGGAACTCTTATTCAGGTCAAAAATATAATAAAAGGTGTTGGGGTGTGGAAGAGAGAGGAGTGTGGGTGTGCTGTGCAGCCCTGTGCCAGCAGATGGAGGAATGGGTGAGATGCTGTCTCCTTCATCTCCAGCCCACAGAGTGTGGGTTTTCGGGGGAGAGGATTGGGGTACTCTGCACCATGGGGGCCCTGTGGACTCCAGGCTCTCAGTCTCATTGGGGAAATCCAGGGAATCGGACAGGACTACGGAGTTGTCATTGCACGACAGGCTGCTTCCCGTAGACCTGTGTGGGCCACGCAGGAGAGGCCCCAGTGGGGCTGCCTGGCAGTGAGACAGAGCTGAAGGGACGGCCACTGGCAGGGACACATGTACCCAAGGCACAAGAATGGCCACTGAGCACGCGCAGGTCTGGGAATCTCCAAAGAGGACACCCAAGTGTCCCACAAGAGACAGACTCAGCTTCAGATATCTGCCAGGTCAAAGGTCACATATTAGCAATTTCCTATCCCCTTCCCTCTTTTCCCTTTCTCATCTGTGGCCACACATGAAGGCCCACACCCGCAGGCAGTGAGTGAGGGCGGAGGTGGGATGCACACGAAGAGCAGAACCAATTCCATGCTGTTCTCCAAGTCTAGGCCTCGGAGTGGGAAGGGGCAGGAGAAGTCTCACCTCTGATGAAAATTGAAGCATTGATCCAAGATTAAAATCTAATACAGAATTAATACTGTTCTCATGTAAAGTAACTGTAGTACTGTCAGTTAACTAAAAGGGACATGGGAACTGCCCCAAATCCCACCTGACACTAGAGGGACCTTATCCCCACTGAAATGTATTGAAGGAGCTGCAGGAGAACAGGAGTTCCACCTACCCTACCCCCAGGCCAGGTCAGGGGCTTGTTTCTGTTTGGTGGTGAATCTTCCAGTAAGGGCTCCAGTTCCCATGCTGATGCTGAGAGCCTCCCAAAGTGCCTGCTGCCTGCTGAGAGTCCCTGAATCTCTGGCAATGGTAATTTGAGCCTTTGCAATTGCCATACCCAGGGAACTCCACCCTGCTTCCTTGGAATGTTCTTTCCATGCCCAGTGACCCTTGGTCTGGCCTTTTTGTTGTGGGCTTTCAGCTGGAACTTAAAGGTAAGAATGCGGCTTAAAAGAAATTCTGTTCTTAATTTATTCAGTTTTTAAAAATCTTTATTCTAGCCATACAGGTGTTACTGCAAAGATAGATTTATTCATGCCAGAAAAGATCCTAAGAAACCTGGACAGTAACACAAAAGAGCACTGTAAATGAAAGAGAGAAAACATAATTTCTTTTCTTTTCCTTTTAGGCTCTTAGTTGAGATGCTATCCTGAAAACACAAGTCAGATTAACACAAGAAAAACAAGCAGAAGTTTATTAAGGCGTGCTCTGCCCATGACTGGCTTTGGGGCTTTGCTTAAGTAGTAAAGCCACAAGTCCTATATAGTGACAAGACAAAGGAGAGAGTAGTTCCGGTCTTTTAAAAGGCAGGGAAATGTGGGAAAATGAGAAAGTCTGTCTCCACATTTCTCTGCTGCCTGCTGGTGTCTTCTCTGGGCCGATAAGCAAGCATCATGTTCAGTAAGGAAGTATTCACGTCCTGCCATCAGATAGAGGCTGAGGCAGAGTGCTTCCCTGTGTTTTCAGTGTCTTTAACTTAACAATCCTCAGTATTTTAGAGATCAATATTTTGGTTTCCTTCCCTACCAATAGATATCAGCCTAACAATGTTAGACTTAGAAATTCAGGACCCCAGGCAATCGCCTCCAAAAGCTCTCCCTGCCATAATGCCGTCTCTCTCTTCCACCCTCATCTTTTCCCCAAGGACTCTCCTCCCCGACCCTTTCCCAAGGGCCAGCTCCACTTCTCTAGCCTTGAGTATTTCTTCTGCCCATGACAGCCCTCCCTTCATTCCAACCATCCATCGGCTGAGACATATGCTGGGCCTGCAAAAGGGACTGGACAAGGTCCCTGTGTTCCAGGGGGGCTAGACATATAAGCAAGTAATTGTAGAACAGTGGAGTAAGAAGTGTAACATTTGCACACAAAATACTATAGGATCCTATGGGAAGGAGTGATTATTTCTGTCCATGGAGTCAGGAACAGCTTCACAAAGGAGGCCATATATGAGATTGGATGAAAAAGCTTCCCGCCGGCTGCTCAGGGGACAATCTGAGTGTCTATGTGCCCAACTCTCCAAGGGCAGACCATGTGCTGACATGGTCCAGCAATCAGGGGCTTCAGGAGGGTGAAAAGGGCTTGAAATTTCTCCAATGCAAACTGGCAGATCCCTCTGCTCCCACCGCACATCCCGCTGCCTCGACTCTCCCACTGCACCTCCTTCCAGAGCTTTCCCCGGAGTCCACACGCCCTGTGCAGGCCTCCAACACAGAGGGATCCAGTGAGAACCACAGCACACTGGACGCCCAAGCCCTTCACCTTTCTGGTCCTCGGCAGCAGCGGCTGCCCTGCCATACATTCTCAGCTTGTGCATTTTCACAGCCACACCCAGGCCCCCGTCACCACCTCCCTGCTAGAGCACACCACCTCCCACAGAGTTGGCCCAAGAGTTCAGGGAATGATTCTCAGACCATTATCTCCAGGCCGGAGCTCTAAACGCACATGCACACCTGCCACGGGTACCTCAGGCTCCACCCCCAAATTGGACTCACCACCCCTTCACCCCCACCCCACGTGGGAACTGCTCACCTCTGGTGCTCCCGTCCTCAACAAGCAACACATCCAAATAAATAAATAACCACCACCTCCATCTACCCACGCCAGAACTCTGGACTTGAGCTTTGATTTTCCTTTGCCTCCCCTACCTCGCAGCAGATTAATCCTTAGGCACTCGATTCTACCTCCCAAAGGTCTCTGAAATCTACTTGCTTCTCTCTGTCCCCACGGCCTCACTCCTAAGCAAGGCCACGGCCACCTGGCCTTGCCCATATGAATTACTGCAACGCTCTCCCGTTGGACTCTGCTCCAGCCCTTCCTCACCCTCCACCCAGAGTGACCTTTCTAAAGTGCAAATAAGATGGCTTCCAGGGCTCTCTCTAGCTTAAACCTCTTTGGAGGCTTCCAGTTGCCCTTAGCATACTCCCTAAAGGCACCAAAATTGCCTTCCTACCTATTTCTCCATCCCCACTTCTAGATACTGCACACTCCCTTACATCTCCAAGCTCTGGGCACTGTCCACCTGGACCACACCCTGCTCCCTCGAGCTGCTGGCCCTTCCCCTGCATGTCCCTCTGTCTCTATGGTCCAGCCCCTTCACACTCTACCCTCTACATTTCATATTCTGAATCCAGGTTTTTACTGCTAAAAATACCATGAATACAGAAACCAACCAAAGCAAACACACAGCTCAGTGCATGATTACAAGGCAAAATCCCTTCACTTTTAAAAAAATTCCCTGCATTTTATTTGAAGGAAGTGTATTGTCCTATAAACTTTCTCCTTGTTGATTTCATCACTGTGGTGTAGTTTAACATATTCCTATTTTCTCTGCATTTTCTGTAAATTGGTATTTTTTTCATATGCTAGAAGTTTTATTACTGAAAGATCTAGATAAAAAAATCCAAAATTGATAGCAAGATAGGGTGGGCAGGGCAGTCAGGCTATACTGATTTACTGATATAACTGACCTATTTTTGGTATACCTTATTCTTTTTTGGGTATTTCAAACAAATATCTTTATTTAATGATTTGCAATTGTTTACAATACCATTTATTTATTTTTTGTTGTTGTTGTTGATAGCCATATTTCCATAAGATTTCCCCAACATCTCTGAGGCAGCTCCACAGGTAATGTTATCTCCATTTCACAGAGGCCAAGAGAGATCTGAGGCCTCCTAAAGTTCACATTGCTGTTTAGTGAAAGGGATACATAGGGCGGACTTTAGCCCATGTGTCTTCCAGTTCCATCAGCCTTTCTTAGAAGTCCCCTGGGAATTTGAAACTCATCAATAATCAAGAAAGATGCAAAGTGTTGTATCCCAATATGCAGTTTTCTATAACGCCATTTAAATGAACACATATTTACATATGTTGAACATTCTGCCATAGTCAATTAATCTTGACACTACAAAGGCAAAAAAAAAAAAAAAAAAGAAACTGCTTTAATGATACTGTCACCATTTTAAAATAAAAGGCAGAAAATTAGATTATGAAAGGGCAAAATGCAAGGATCCTAATGGAAATTCTATTAGATAGCAGAGAAAATATTTCCTGTCTTCTGTTGGCGAATGGAGAATTGCTATATATGCTACTTTAGTGTCATATATATGGTGGAGACTGAGCTGCTGATATCTCACACCCCAATACACATAGATAATCACATAGAAATATATGTGTGTTTATAGATACACACTCATAGCTGTAGACACGCACATGTATATATGCATTTGTTGGTATATAGATGTATCATCTCTCTATATACATGTACATTTACACATATGTGGATATATCTCATTTTTCTAAACTGGGGACATTAACTGATTGATCCAATAAATTGCTAATTCTCCTTGGAGCTTCCTTTAGTACTTGCTTCCTCTGGTACTTGTTCAAAATTTAAATCATTTACTAAATCACAGAGTAATAGAATCTGAGACTTAGAAACTTTGAAGTCATCCGTACTGGGCTAAATGGTGGCTCCCCAAGTTCTATGTCCAAGTTTGTGTGTGTGTGTGTGTGTGTATAGACTAAATATGTATACAGTTTTTATTAAATATCAATCATACCTCAATAAAGCTGTAAAAATTTTTATAAATGGGAAGATACAACATATTTATGGTGCTGCCAATGAAACATTGTTAAATAGTACTTCCCAAATAAATGTATAAATTAATGGTAATCTCAACAAAAATTCCAGAGAATTTTCTAGAAAAAAAATTAGCAGCGCCCAGGCCCTATCTCAGACCATGTAAATTGGTATTTTGATACAGATTTGGATTCATTGTTTTTGGCAGGACCACTAAATAGGCCATGCGTTCTTCATCAAGAGGCACAAAATGTCTACTTGTCTTGCCTTCTGTGATGTTAGGAGCCATGACTGTTAAATGCCTAGATTCTTTAATTCATCAAGGGCTGCAGAAGAACATTTCAATTCTATAATTTATTGTTCATTTATTTGTTGGAATGATTCTATAGATAAAAATATCCCTTCATCTACTATTTGGTTATGAAGAGGTACAACTAACACAGGAAAGTCCAAGACAAATGATTAATTCTTTCACTTTATTTACCAGTTTTCAAAAGAAGCCATTGGTTTCTGAGCTTCAACCAAAGGTATCAGCATTAGTTTGCTAGGGCTGTCCGTAAGAAAACACCACAGACTAGAGGGACAAACAACTGAAATTTATTTTTCACAGTTCTGGAGACTGAAAGTCTGAGCTCGAGGTGTCAGCAGGGTTGGTTTCTCCTGAGGCTTCTTGGTGTGGCTTGCAGACACCTGCCTTCTAACTGCACCCTCAGGTGGTCTTTCTTTCCTGTGCACACACATACCTGGTGTCTCTTTGTGTGTCTTAATCTCCTCCTTTTATAAAGACACCAGTAAGATTGGGTTAGGGCACAGTTTAAACACCTTATTTTAACTTAATCATCTCTCTAAAGACCTTGTCTTTCTTCCCTCTTCTTCTCGAGTTGACCACACCATATTCTCAACAATATCATTCAAACTCTACCTTCTTTGACATATTGTAAATACAGCTGTTTCTTATATTTGAAATTTTTTCAGAAATAATTTTTCTTTCATTTTCTGAAAATGCAGTCTCCATCCTACAGGGTGTAACTCATTCTGGGAGCAGAAGCCACCCTTAAAACTGGCCTCTCTAAGCTAGGTACCCAGTTCTCTCGCCCATTACATGGAACATCTGGGTCAGATTCTTTTATTTAAACTCCAGCAAGCATTTACTGTTACATTTTCTGTAAGGACCCTTTCAGCTCTAAAGTTCTATCCCTTATATTATGTGAGAGTTAAAAATGAGTTAATGTATATAAGGCACTTAGCACAGCCATGGCAAACTAAAGTGTTCAACAAATGTTAACTATTATTTTATTATTAGCAGTGGTAATAAATGTCTTCTGGTCCTCAATAACCAATTATTATTGAGTTACAGTGGCCTATTTCTCCTGCCTTTATCTTCTTGTGCATTTTAAAAGTCTTTTCTCAATACAACAACAACAAAAAAATGCACAAATGAACAAAGGACTTGAATAGATATTTCAGCAAAAAGTGGCCAACGAACACATGAGAAGATGCTCAACATAATTAATCATTAGGGAAATGCAAATCAAAACCATAGTGAGATACCACCTCTACCCATTAGGATGGCTACTGGCAAAAACAAACAAGCAAACAAAAACAACATGTGTTGGTGACAATTTAGAAAAAATGGAACCCATATTCACTGCTGGTAGGAATGCAAAATGGTACAGCCACTGTGGAAAATGGTATGGTAGTTCCTCAAAAAATTAAACAATGAATTATTAGATGATCTAGCAATTTCACTTCTGGATGTATACCCAAAGGAATTGAAAGCAGTAACTCAAAGAGATACTTGCATACCCATGTTCATAGCAGCATTATTCACAACAGGCAAAAGGTTCTACCCATGAATGAATAAGCAAAATGTAGTATATACATACAATGGACTATTATTCAGTCTTCAAAAGGAAGGAAACCCTGTCACATGGTATAATGCAGTGAAACTTAAGATATTAAACTAAGTAAAATAGGCCATTCACAAAAGGACAAATATTATATGATTCCACTTATGTTAAGGTATATAGAGTCCCTAGAGACAGAAAGTAGAATGGTGGCTGCCAGGGGCTGGGGAGGGGGGAAAGGAGAGTTGGCGTTCAGTGGGTACAGAGCTTCAGCTTGGGAAGATGAGAAGTTCTGGAGCTGGATGGTGGTGATGATTGCACAACAATGTGAAGGTACTTAATGCCTGTGAACTGTGCCCCTAAAAAGGATTAAAAGAGCTAATTTTGTGGTATGTGTATTTTACCACAATTTTTTTAAAAAGTCTCCTCTATCCTCTTCCTATAGGAACCCCCCACACCCAGGACACAATGGCCCAGACCTCAGAGCTGGGGAAGCAGACACAGCTGACAGAGGTGGCAGGGATCCTCTTGCAGACTGCAACTGTGGGCAACTGGAGCCAGATCCAGAACTTCCAGGCCAAGCCGGATGATCTGCTCATCTGTACCTACCCTAAATCAGGTGAGTGTGGGGCAGGTGGCACAGCACAGACCCCAACCTGCAGAGCTGGCATGGACCCTCACATAAGCTGGAATTCCCGATAGGAAACCTGCTCCTTCTTACTGTTCCACAGTGGGGCTTGTGCTCAGGGTGCCTGGTGTCCCTGGAATTCCCCAGGGACCAGCGTACCGGCTTGAGGCCCTGCCTGATGCGCTCTGCCATGCACCGCTCTTGGGTGGGCTGAGCCTCGCCTGTGCTTGCCCCCCAGAGATCCGAAGTCTGTCCCGCATAGACGCCCATCACTCACGGCTAACAAGATCCTGCCCAACCAGCACCAGGCTCCACGTCCCCTTACTCAGGACACTTGGGGAAGACTAACAGATTTCTGCCTCTCATCCTTCCCTTCTGGACCTCAGGGACAACATGGATTCAGGAAATTGTGGACATGATTGAACAGAATGGGGACGTGGAGAAGTGCCAGCGAGCCCTCATCCAGCACCGCCACCCTTTCATCGAGTGGGCACGGCCACCCCAGCCCTCTGGTGAGAGCGACTCCCTCGCTGCTGTCTCCATTCTCTCCTCCCCTCTCTTCTGTTTCTCCATCTCTCCTCTCCTCTCTCGCTCTCTCATTTCTATTGCCATGTGCTTTCCCCTTTTACCTTCCTCTCTTCCTCTGTCTACATATTATCTAAGATTATTTGCCAAAAGTGAATCACCAAGTAAGAAGGTTCTATGATCAGGTCAGATCCTGCCTTGTTTTCTTCTTAAACCCTCCCCCTGGTCACGTGCAACTGTGGGACACACAGAGAAGGTGGAAGACTTATGTAAGCAACTCACACCCCTTCTCTCCATACCCCACCTCCACAAAAGCCCAGTGTAGCCAGGGGAGTACCTGATAATTCCCGCGTGCGTGCACACACACACACACACACACACACACACACACACACACAGACAGAGTGTATTTGGAGCCAATTATTTCTGTTCAGTAGAGAAGCCTATTTCAGGTAATGCTCAACCTCAAAGTTTTTCTCTTCACACCATAAAAGGAAGCTCAAAAAGATAACCAGAAGACAAAAGAAGCTATTCCAGGTCCCTAGCAGCTGCTACACATATTTTGTGGAACAGCATTATCTGAAGTAGCCAAAAGGTGGAAAGAGCCCAGGTGTCCCCCCACTGATGATGGCAAACAAGATGTGGCACACGCACGATGCAGCGTTACTCAGCCTCAGCAACGAAGGAATTCCTGACACATGCTGCAACGTGGTGGACACTGCAAACATTATGCTAAGTGAAATGGGCCAGATACAAAAAGGCAAATACTGTATGATTCCACTTACATAAAGTCAAATTCATAGAGACAGCAAGTAGAATGGTAGTGGCCAGCGGCTGGAGAGGAGAAGGTGGAGTTATTGTTTAATGGGTTCAGAGTATTCATTTGGGAAGATGATAATGCTCTGGAGATAGATGAAGGCGGATGGTTGCACAACAATGTGAATTTACTTAATTCAAAGTAATTACTTACTTAATTCAAAGAAATTAACTGAACTGCATCCTTATAAATGGTTAAGATAGTAAATTTTAGATTAGATGTATTTTACCACAATTTTAAAAAGAATTATTGGGGATTCCCAGCATATACAATAAATAATATCAAGGATGATCAGAATAAAATATATCCCCTCACTACCACCCCCAACCCCTATACACACACACACACACACACACACACACACAGCTTCGGGAGCAAGTGTGAAAAACTGAGTGTAAGGAGACCATTCGAGGTTTCTAAACAGAAGACTCACACAATCAAAGCTGCTCAAAAGCAGTGGAAATTTGAAGGCAGGCACTGGGGTCACTAACATTTCAAGGTTTTGGTAACTACAGCTTCAGTTCCAGACCTGGTCCCTGCCAGGTGAAGAGCGCAGTCCTCCCTCTCTTTCCTGGGATCTGGCAGAAAGTGTCCCAAGTCCTCAGCCTCAGGAGAGCAGCCAACCCCACAATGCCCAACGATCAGACAAGAGCCTAATTTATAGCAGGGGGAGGAGAGCTTGCACTGAGAGTAACATTCCTGGCATTGAGGGTTTTTTGTTTTTGTTTTTGTTTTTGTTTTGAGAAAGAGTCTCATTCTGTTGCCCAGGCTAGAGTGCTGTGGCGTCAGCCTCGCTCACAGCAACCTCGAACTTCTGGGCTCAAGCGATCCTCCTGCCTCAGCCTTCTGAGTAGCTGGGACTACAAGCATGCGTCACCATGCCAGGCTAATTTTTTCTATTTTTGGTAGAGACAGGGTCTCGCTCTTCTCAGGCTGGTCTCGAACTCCTGAGCTCAAATGATCCATCCGCCTCGGCCTCCCAGAGTGCTAGGATTTACAGGCGTGAGCCACCGTGCCCGGCCCCAATAAGGTTTTAAATGAGGGTAGAAATCAGACTCACAGGCCAGCAGGTGCAAATGTTTGTAGAAGGGAAATGGGTGGTTGCAAATAGGCCAGTGACATGGGGCAGCTTGTTGCAGGCACATGGAGGTTGGCTCTGGCTGGCAGGGAGGCAGGGGAGGCCTGCTCTCTGGTCCTGCTGGGACTGCTTCAACAGGACTTCACTTGCCCATTCTCAGCTTCCATCGCCTCATCATTAAAGTGACAGAGTAGATTGACTCTAAGTTCCCTTCCAGTTGTCAAGCTGTGTGGTGCTACCAAAGTGAAGATCCTATCAATAATCTCATTGGGAAGTCCCAAAGAAAGTCAGGGGACTAGCATGAGGTTGGGTGGGTGATGGGATATTCTAGACAGAGCCTAGACCATAACGTTCCTATGCAGCACGTGTGCTATGGAGATGTTTCCTCTTGAATTATTTTAAAGGTGTGGAAAAAGCCAAAGCGATGCCCTCTCCACGGACACTAAGGACTCACCTTCCCACTCACCTGTTGCCACCGTCTTTCTGGGAAAGCAACTGCAAGGTAAGACAGCAATGGCTCCCCCGGTGACAGGAGGGAGAGGAAGCCCACCGAGAGCGAGTCCTCCAGACCCCGACTGAGAACATCCACAGTCGTGTTCACCTCTCCGCTATCTCTGGAGCTTATCAGCAACAACAGAAAGTGTAAAGTTCTAGCTCCGCAGGGTACTCACCAGAACACTTTCAAATAAGACATGAGGGTAGAAGCCACACTCAGTTTTCGGCGGGAACTAGAGACATGGGGAGGCAGTGAGTGCTGATGGCTCTTTCAGTAAGTCTAGCTGAGAAAGGAAGGGGACAGGATGGTGGCCCTTGGCTACAGGCCATGGGAAGGCTCATGTACTATACCAGGGAGGGAAGAGTAAGAGGAAAAAAACCTAAAGATGGTGCAAAGGCGTAACAGAGGAACAGATGGAGCAACGCTCTTGAGGGCACTCAGCCTCAGCCTCTGGGAGACTCTGGGTTCCCTGTTTTATTTATTCTGTGACTATTTATATGTACCCCAGTACCTACTAAGTGGCTGGCACATAGAAGATATTAGAAGCGTGCTTGGTGAATAAACAAGGGACGCATGATGTGGAGGAAGAGGGCACAAGGCTACAAACTGAGCTGGCAGCTTGGTGAGAAAGTGGGGCCCTGTTTCCCAGAGCTAGGGAGGAAGGGAACGCAGGGCTACGAGAGGTGTATTTCTGAAGGACAGGAGTGCAGTTGCGGGGACTGGGGGAGACTCACATCACATGACTGCAGTCTTTTCTATAACGTCGGATAAGGGGATGAGAACTTCCTTTTCCAGAATTACGGCAGCCAGATGTCCCGAAACCCTTCTGTACAAAACACCAAGGAATGCTGCATAGCATGTCATGAGTTTCCTTTTCAGTGCATAACTGAGATCGGAACAAAGTAAGGGAGATTTAAAAACTGAAGAAGGAACTGAAACTCAGAGCGGCCTATTGAGACCGGAGCTCTCCTGGGGAAATGTGATGGCCCGAATAATCCAGCAACTTGAGTGTTAATAGCTGCCCAGGGATAAGGTCACAGCCTAGAGCATGAGGAACCAGAGAAATGAGGAACCGAAGCTGGACCACTGACGGGCTACATCCTCAACGGGCAGGTGGAGGAGGCCACAGCAGACCCAAGACCTCGCTGTCGTGACCTAGGCGCTCAGCTCCCTCTCTGTTCAAATCTGTACTCCTGGCGTTGCCCAAGACACTATTGGCTGAGAAAGTAGCACAGGGTGGCCCCACTGCCAGTGTCCCCATACTCTCCTAGGAGGGACATGGCTCCAATTCAGGCCCCAAAAGATGCCCCCTTGAGCTCACCATCCACATGGCAAATACGCAGAAGGACAAGCCACCCTGAGAGAGAGTGTTTAGAACAAACAAACGGCAGTTAGGCCTCAAGAACTTCAGATAACAATTTTCAGATATAGAAAGAAGAGAAGAACGTTTAAGTTGTTTAAAGGAATAGAAGATCGAATCAAAAATAAAATAGATGAGATACTACTTTTAGGAACAGAATTATTAAACAAATACATGGAATTTCTACAACTGAAAAAATATACATTGCAATTACAAACTCAAGATTAAGCCACAGTGCAGACTAGATAAAGCTGAGTGGAAAATTAGTGAACCTGGACAGGGGAATGGGAAGAAGGTCTGAGGACAGGAGAGTCTTGTGGCCAGGGCTAAGAAATACGAGAGGGAGCAAAGGAGACACGAATAGAATGATCATCAAGCAGCAATAAAGTGAAAAACAACTCAGGGTTTAAAAGAACAAGAATTTAGATGGATTTTTTTAAAAATCAACATTTTAAAAACCTTCATTGGCACTTGGCAGTTCGGTACATTGGGGAAAAGAAAACGGGCATGAGGCCTTGGCAGACAGTGATGGAGTGAGTGCCTTTAGGAGCAGTGTTGCTCGACCTCAGCGCTTGCTCTAAAGGGACATGGGATTTGCTTGAATCAGGTGTGGTGAGACGCACAGACTGGAGTTGACTGTCATGAGGGAAGCCACACAGAGCCACACGTGGGAGCACTGGGCTGGGAGGCAGAGGGAGTGAGGGGAAACGCAGGCAAGGGCCTTTATTGTGGTTTCCGCGGGCAGGAGCGGGAGAGGTGGGGTGAGCAAGTGTCCCACTGGCCAGTGAGAACCATGTCAGCAGGCTCCAGAGCAGCGGCTGTGCCTGGGGATCTGGGACCTGGGCCTGGGGGGGTCAGGGCAGGTGGGTGGGGGCCTGGGGTGCGAGAGCCTGATAACAGACACAGTTGTGGGGGGTGGGCTCTGGATTGGTCGGTTTGCATAGTTACTGCCTCTACGTAGGAATGAGCTACCCCTGGGAGGAGCAGTCCCTCCACAGTCACAAAGGCGCCAGGATGTCAAAGCATCAGAATACAGAATATAAAAGAGATGATTAATACAGCACTACTGACATTTGGGCCAGATCATTCTTTCTCGTGGGTGGGAGCAGGGGCTGTCCTGTGCATGGTATTAATAGAATGTTGAGCAGCATCCTTGGCCCATGCTCATTAGATGCTAGTAACGCCACCACTCCCAGTTGTGACAACCAAAAATATCTTCAGACATTGCCAAATGTCCCCTAGTGAGCAAAATCACCCCCAGTTGAAAACCACTATTTTAAGGCCAAAGTCAACACAGCATTGAAATAGCTGGCCGTGGATCTGAGACAGCTGGTTAAGAGGCCCCTTTAGGATTGATGCTGGTTAAAGGGTGAACTGAGTACTAGAAGTCACAGCTTGGTCAAAGTGAAAGGTTGGGAGGGTGGAAGGATGTGAGGCTGTGGTCACAGTGGAACCTAAGGGATGTCTGTAGGGGCAGAGCTGAAGTGATCAGAGAGGGAAATCATTAGAGTTGAGGAAGCTGGGAGGAAAACACTGGCTATTTTCTTGCTCCAGAGCCTAAACTCTTAACCACAAAGCTCTTCTGCTTCTCTGAGAGCCTAAGAAGAGGGTATTAGAAGGTCATCAGTATGCTGGTGGAAATTTTTTAGTTGCATGGCAGGTCATAGCTTCTAGAGAAAGATTTTACTCCTGATACCAAAGGGGCAATCAGGAGTAAGGCTAATGGGTTAAGTAATCAATAGGACCAAGTTCAAAATAGATAGCAGAATCGGCAAGGCAGCAGGGACAAGTAGAGGAGAGAGAGGTCACAAAGCCAAGACACATGGCCAGCACTGCAGAGCTGAGCCAGTGTGTGCAGCCTCTGAAAGTCCATGTTTCATACCATCTTTTACCCACTTCTCTTCTTACCCCAAAGTTCCTTTATGTAGCTCGAAATGCCAAAGACACTATGGTTTCCTACTACCATTTCCAAAGAATGAATCAAATGCTTCCTGATCCTGGCACCTGGGATGACTATTTTGAAGCCTTCATCAATGGAAAAGGTAAAGGAGAGTTCTTCCTTCACACCCTGTGTTCTCACTTCAGCAAGGCTGAATCTAGGGATCAGGCTTGACACTGTGATTCCCTGGAATGCCATGGGCCACGTTAGGTGTGTCCTACCACAGACCAGGACTGGGTGGGGTACACTGCTGCTTTCATCGTGCATACCCACTGCCCTCAGCCGACGTCTTCCATCTGATTCAACAGCCTTTAAACAGTGGGTCTCATTCCAAAGAGTATCCCTTCCCCAATATGAGGGCATAATAAACATGAATCCACTTTTGGGGCCAATAACCACAAGGCTGTCCCCATCCAGAGGACCCCTAGGGACATATCTGATACAGAATTTGTTTTCTCTCTCTCCATGGCACTTCAGGTACATAAAATCCCCAACTGTCAGAAGGTTTTGTATTAGCTCTGTAGGGACTGTTCTGTTTCCTGTGTCTGTTACAGTGGGCTGGGGTTCCTGGTTTGACCACGTGAAAGGATGGTGGGAGATGAAAGACAGATACCAGATTCTCTTCCTCTTCTACGAGGACATAAAGAGAGTGAGTAAGGGCCCTTCAGAAGAACTGTGCCAGACCCAGGTGCAGAGAAACCCAAAGATGTTTCAAGGCTGTACTTCCGGGAGGGGTGTCCCAAAGAACTGAAGTGTGTCTTTCTGATACCTTTATCCCTTCTAATCCAATGTCATCCTCACCACAGGACCCAAAGCATGAAATTCAGAAGGTGATGCAGTTCATGGGAAAGAACTTGGATGAAACAGTTCTAGACATAATTGTCCAGGAGACATCATTTGAGAAAATGAAAGAAAATCCCATGACGAATCGGTCTACAATTCCCAAATCTATCCTGGACCAATCCATTTCCCCCTTCATGAGAAAAGGTTTGTGGAGCTTCTTTATCAAATACTCAGCGTGTCTCGTAACATCCTGCCTGCCCCTTATCAAGATGATATTTGGTTTTATTAATTGCAAGGCAACACATTTCAACTATCCCTAATATCTGTTCCTAGTAAGGCTAGGGATTTGATCCTGTTGTAGCAGAGAGTTCTCCAGGGTACTATTCTGATATTTGGTTTCAAGGAACAGAGTTTCTCAACTTTGGAGGCCCAGTGCAAGGGCCTGCAAAAGAAATGCAATCTGATGGATAACTAGGAAATGCAATCTGATGGATAACTAGGAAATGCAATCTGATGGATAACTAGGAAATGCAATCTGATGGATAACTAGGAGCTCCTGGGAGCTCCTGGGCGGAAGGGTCCAGGACCTCAGCAGGAGGACATTATGGCTCTTCACTCTAGGGCTCCACCTCTTATGAGACTCAGCTGCTTCCCACGTATCTGTTATATGTGTGCCTCCCTCTGCCGACCAGCTTCCTCCACCCAGCGCACCTTTCTCCTGCTTTATAGCTTCTGCTGACTCAGTTTCTGCTCAACACTTCATCTTGACCGTGGCCCAAGCCATCATGATTTTCAACTACAAATACTTGCTGAGAATGGCCTCATCTTAATATTTCTTACTTCCAATTCCCAAAATATGAATTCTAATTGGCCCAGCTAATATTTTTAAGGAAAAAAAAAACTTTTATCATTTTTGATTTAAGAAGCACCACATGTCATTGTGAAAAATTAAATAGACATAAAATTATACTTTTTTAAAAGTTCTCTCTACCAACTCCACTCCCAAGAAGTAGCCACCAACAGTACGGAATTCCCTTCATCCTCTGTTTTATAAATATATACTTTTCTTTTTCACAACAGTGGAATATTGCTTTGTAACATCTTTTCTTCTTCCTTTTTTTTTTTTTTTTGCGTGTGATTGGATTTATTTCATTGCATTTTCCAATCTACCACAGCATTCCATGCTAATAAAACAAAACAAATGATTCTGCCTCTTTTCTCTTCAGATAATCAGTGATGAAGATTTGGCAAGTACCCCTTCTTCAGATCCATACATACCCACCTTTCTACACAAGCTCCTTCTTCAGGCTAATATAAACACAAAGATAGATATAGATATATATATCTCATGATGAAAGCCTGCTCCCTAAAACACAAAATGTGGTCGTATTTTACACCTTCACTTACCAGACTATGAGACAACCCTCCAGTGCAAAGCATGTAGATTCATGTCCCTCACTGTTGTGGTCCCATGTTATACCAAAGTATGGACACATCATAATTCATCCAACTATTCCACTAGTGATAAACATGATAGTTATTGTTGTTTTCAATTTTTGTCTTTATGAATAATGCTACAGTAAATGTCTTGGTGCATAAGTTATTATTTCATGATGCTTGTATTTCTGTTGCATAATTTCCCAGAAGAGGCATCAGTGGGACAGAGGATATTTCATTTTAAGTTACTGCTTGGTGAAAAGTAATAGTTCATTAATATTTTTCCCAAATTCTTTTTTTACTGAGATATAATCTACATACCAAAAATGCACGGATCTTAAGTGTATAGTTCAACAAGTTTTGATAAATGTATACGCCCATACTACCAGCACCCCAATCAAGACAGCAAACATTCTCATCATCCCAGAAAGTTCCCTTTCATGCCCCTTTTCAGTCAATCTCTACCCCCAGAGACAACACTGTTCTAATTTCTGTCACTATAGATTGATTGTGCCTGTTCTTGGACTTCACATACATGGAATCACATAGTTTGTACTTTCGTGTGTCCAGTGTCTTTTGCTCAACATAATGTTTTGAGATTCCTCCATGGGGCTGTGTCTGTAGTTCATTCCTTTTCATGTCTGTGTAGTAACCCATTGTGTGAATATATCACAGGTGGGGTCACCAGCTCCCTCGGGTCAGTTGTCCAGCTGATTTAGAAGCCCATCCCCCTGCACGGAGCTCCCTAGGGCCGTGTCTCAGAGCAGAGAGCTGCAGGTGGACAGGTGGCCACTGCAGTTGGTGAGCCAGGAGTCAGGCCAGGCCCAGTATGGACAATCCACTGCTTTACTCAGCTCTCAGAGCAGAGAGCTGCAGGTGGACAGGTGGCCACTGAAGTTGGTGAGTCAGGAGTCAGGCCAGGCCCAATATGGACAATCCACTGCTTTACTCAGGGCCACCAAGTCTTTGGACAAGAGAGTGACATTCCTGTGGGGGCTTCTCTCTTTTAGGAACTGTGGGGGATTGGAAAAACCACTTCACTGTGGCCCAGAATGAGATATTTGATGAAATCTACAAGAAAAAGATGGAAGGAACCTCAATAAACTTCTGCATGGAACTCTGAGCAGGACGTAAATAAGGTGAACAGCAAGAACGGCAGATGCTATGGTCATTTGAAGTTTAATGCTTCACCCACAGCCAAAAGAATCTCTGAAAGCATATTGTAAATGCATATGATGTAGTATAAACTGTCTCTGTGATTATTAACTATATGTCACACCTTCATTTCTAAAAAAGGATTGTGTCTAATGCCTATTTTGTCAACTATTCTTTCCAAACTAAGAAATAAGATAGTTTAATAAACTATGTAAAATGTAAAGTTTGAATACTAAAAGGGTTTTTTAAATTCCCCTTATTTTGGCAAGTGTACCCCAGTTTCCTAGTCTATGATAACATAATACCTTGAAGATAAGTACAAATATTATACAAATAGCTTATATCTATATTAATAATACAAAATTTCTGACATCTGTCCTGGCCATTCAGGCAACTCTGGCCCGGGCTCGATCCTGGAGTTCTGCCTGGTCACTAGCAGAAGGGAAACTTCGAGGGCAACCCTGGCATAGTCGACCCTGAAGAAATGTAGTCTGAGTGCCCTTGCTGGTGGGTAGAGAATAAAAGGGAAGGCACAGAGGAGATGTCAGAAGACTGAAACCTAATTTAAAGAGTCCTAGTGCTAGGTCAGTTAGGAAACCAAAAGCATGAGGTTGGCCTTTTGGAAGCCCAAGTTGTATCTTGGTGAAAGCAGAAAGTAGAATGGAACCAATGTCAACAACGTCAGCCTGGGCATGACACTCAGGTGTGCAGATAATTGGGTCTCAGCTTCAATTCCATCCCTTCTGGGGAGGCTCTAATAACCAAGCTAGGCGTCCTTTCCCAGCTTCCCATACTTATCCCAGTTGTAGCCCTGTTGCTCTTATTAACTTGTCAATTTGTTATCTATACCTCCCACTGGATTGCCAGTTCCTTGGGGTTCGGTTCCATTTCTTGTTTATTCCCAGTACCTAATGCAATGCCTGGCACACAGGGCCTGCCCAGTAAGAACGTGTCCTGTGAGTGAACAAATGCATGGATGAATGAATACAGGAAATCACAAAATTCCCAACTTTGACCCCTTTCTTTTAGTCCCAAATAGTGGCATTCCAAAGCAGAGGGCCGTAGGGGCAGTTCACCCTGGGAGCAGGTAATCAGAGAGTGTATTAAGCCAACTAGACTACTGACTGCTTTTCATTATCACCACGTACTGGCAGTCCTAAACAATGTCAGTGATAAAATACTACTTCAAGGGAAAGAAAAGAAAAGAGAGGAGAGGAGAGGAAAAGAAAAGAAACAAAATGAAACTAACTCAAACTACTATTATGCCAAGTTCTAAACAATTGCTTGATTACTACTGACTTTTAGCCATGGAATTTGTTTTTAAAAAGTGGCCTGTATCCCCACTAGATCATGAATCTTTGTTGTTGTAATTCCATGTCTTATTCACCTTTGTGTGGAAGTTACTTCAGAGAACCCAGGCATGGAGTCCAACTCTATAATTCCCAAACAAGCAGATGTAGCTATACTTGCTTCCTGCCAGGGTTAAGTTCGTTACAATTCAGAATCATTCAAGCTCACTTCAGGCACAACCTGTGTCTCCAACCGTGTAGTATTTGAATGATTTTGTCTTTCAACAGTAGATTCAGCATAAATGATGATAGCACAGTGGTCAGAGAATCAAAACGTGAGTTTCCTCAATTCAATCATTCTCTGTGACTATTTAGAGTTTTCATTTCTATTCAGAACTTAAAACAGTAAAATTTTAAAAAGTATGAACTGCAAAATAGTATTTTTGTTTAGTAAGTACAAAGTTGTGTTCACATAGGAAATAGTTGACTGATTTTGAATAATAACTTTAAAATTGAAGTTTACTGACTAAGTGTTAATTATTTGTTTTAAAACTCAAGAATGAATCAAGAAAATAAAAGATTACATCAGTGCTATAATTTAGTAATTGTGCAACTTGTACTTCTTATAGATATTTTAGTTTTATTACAATTGACTGATTCTGATTTTTTAACTGACATAAGTCTATCTACAGAGTTGAATAAAAGAAAAGTTTCACTGACTTCATTTCTTTAGTAACCATTGTTTTTATTTGTTGTCTCTATTAATGATTAATACTGAAAATAATTTTGTCGAATAAAAAATTGTTCACCCCAGGGCCAGCTATGGTCTCAACTCACAAACTGCATTCTGATTTGTTGGTTGGTTGGTTGGCTGGTTTTGTTAAGGAAAAAAATTATTCAATGACATTTATCAAAGCACAGTGAGACAGACTTTATTCAGGACTATCTTGATAGGTGCAGGGACCACAGCAAGGGGGTCTTGCAGTGGAGGAGAGAGATTGGGCTCTCCATACAGCATGTGCAAGAATTCACAGCCATGGGGTGGGGAGGGGATGGGGAGACAGAAAATTACTAGGAGGAAATGTCAGGGATGAGGAGATGGGTGCAGATTCTGGCTAAATGCACCTACCAGGCTTCCTGCTGAAGACAGGTCAGGGTGACCAGACATCACCTAGGGACTGGTGGGGGATGAGGACCCTTATCAGATGTTGAGGGTAGGGAGTTCTTGCTAAACAGCCTTAGCAAGGTTCTTGCAAAAACTGTATTTTACAAGTGTACAGGTGGGCTTAGGAGATATTTCAAGAGCCTGACAAAGTTTGATGGAGCAAACAATCTTTGTCATTTTGGTTTAAGCTCTTTATCTTTCCTTTTCCTTCACTAGCTAGGAACTAAACACGCCAACTTTGAGGTTTAGTATTTCAAAGGGATTTGAAGTTAATGCTGTGAGATACATGGGGCTGTGTGTTTAGATGCCAAAAAATCACGTCTATGTCCAGGCGTCCAACAACCAGTGGGAACTACATGCCAACTGGAGCACATCACCATCAAGGTCAAGGATGAAAAGCCCCTGCGGCGGTCAAGCACCACGCACCCTGACCAGCTTTCCCAGCTCGTGCAAGGAGACCCACACAGGAGCAGAGACACCAGGAAAAAAGCACACTCCCCCCCCAGCAGATTCAGTGTTTATGCAACAAGCTAAGATGAGGAGGGCCTTAGCATGCCTCTCCCCTCACATGCCTGCACGTGTTAACACCAAAAAGGAATGATTTTAAGTGTTTCTTTTCCCTAGAAAGAGTTGTAACCATCCTTCATCCATTCGTTTATTTCAATTAAACACCAGCTGTGCGGCAGGCACTGCATGTATAGGTGGTGAACAAAGCCCTTCTCTTACAATCTTACAGTCTAGTGCGTGACACAGACATCAGTTAAGACATGAGGCGCGGTCACCAATCGAGGAGCGTGCGCGAGGAACGTTGCAGTCTTCAAGAGCACAAGCACATCCAATTTACTGGCCCCAGAGGGGACAGCTCTCCCAGGGAGAAGGCCCTCCCTTCCCAAGTGCCAGAGCAGGTGTTGGCTTTAACAAGAGAGAGGTGAGCAGAGAGAGGGAGACCCCGGCAGAGGTTGGTGGTGCAGGTGTGTATTGCCCGCTTCATGGCCAGAAGGAAGGCGGTGAGAGGGAGCAGCAAGCTCAAGGGAGGACCCACAAAATGAGCTCAAGAGAGAGGCGGGAGGACCACATGGGGTCTTGTCAGTCAGGCAGGATGTTAGTCTTTATCCTAGGAGCCAGCAAACGCCCTGAAGTCTCCAAGATGGTGACTGCTCAGACTAACATTTCAGTATGTCCACTGTGGCCCAGGAAGGACGGTGACACACTCAGACCTAGCATTTCAATGCTGTCCACTGCAGCTGTACTACAGAGAGGACGTGGGTAGGAAGGAGGGGAGCCAGGGCCTGGAGACTTTCAGGTTAAGGCAAGAAGTGGAAAGCTGGCCCCCCCGAGTCTCTGGCTGCAGTTCACGCAGCGGAGTGAGAGTTAAGTTGCAGAAAAGTACTCATTACCTGTAGAATACCTTTATCATTTTAATTGCAAGACATTTCTCTAGTACCTGCTATGCTAGGTACCACTGCGAAGATTAATGAGAGAGAAAGGGAAAAGGGAAAGATCAGGGTGATCAAGCCTCAATCAGCAAGTAAAATATGACAGATCCATAGATCTCTCTGAGAAGGAAATGTGTCTGAGATATCTAACAGATTCTCCATCAGGACTATTTTTCCATAAACGACGAATATATTAATATGTGACCCAAGGGATAAAATATAGTCAAGGCTCAAAGCCAGATGTGGACTAGACTCGAGTAAGAGGTGCTGGAGCCAAAGACCCTAGGATTGGAGGATGCTGGCCAGGCTACACTCGGTGCCGTGGAGGGACCTGGGGTCTGCTCTGCTCTCCCGTCATGGCTCAGCTGGGGGCAGAGTAGAGCTGGCCTGGGGGCCCATTCAGCCTTGCCCTCTCCGCCTCTTTTTTCCTGGGCACGTCTTTCCGGCTCCTTCTTTCCACCTCTCCCCAGTCGTCAAAGTACAAGCTGCTGATCATTTTGAAATGAGGATACAAAGATACAGAGGAAAGGCAGATCACCTGACCCCTCCAACCCCCCAAGGGAATATACCACAGTAAAACTAGGTACTATGAAGGTTAATGTAAAGAAAGAAAGAAAGAAGAAAGAAGAAAGAAAGAAAAGAAAGAAGAAGAAAGAAAGAAAAAAGAAACGAAAGAAAGAAAGAAGGGAAAGGAGCAGAAGGAAGTAGAGGAGTGGGGATGGGAGGAGGGAGGAAGACAGATGGGAGGGAGGTGGCAGGCAAGGACGGGAGGAAAAGAAAAACATACCTAAGCTCACACAACCAATCCAGTAACAGAAAGACAGATTCCAAGTCCATCACAGCACAACGAGATATGTCCTCAGGTTGCGTGGTGAGCCATTTAGAGTGTGCCAAGGATAAACACACTCACGACATCTCTCACTGTGCTTGGCCATGTGATAAAATGGAAATTTTATCCTTGCCTACAACTGGAAGCCCTACAAGTTAAATCAGAACCCTAACACACCCTCCAGTGAGCCATTTCCTTTCTAGCCCCCTGGCAGCCACAATCTTCCCCAAATCAAACAAGCGTCCACATTCCTTCACAGCTGTTTCTGAAAATATCCACTGAAACCACCTGCATCAACTGAAATAAAATATTTCCCCTCATTTTGATATTCTTTTGTTTGTTTTATTTTAGAATACCATTTCCCAATGGCCCTGGAGAAAAAAAGTCAAAATCAGCATCCTGAAATGGATTACGTGGAGGGGATTTTGTTGGCCACAGCCACGTGTGCCTTCTGGGATAAAATCTGGCACTTCCAGGCTAAACGTGATGAGCCCTTCATTGCAC